GAGATCCTATCCTATTCTAAGAAAAATTTTAAGGTAGCTGGGATGAATGCCTTTCATGGAATGGATTCCTTTATACTGAGCTTAAAGAACTGTTGTGGGTGAGACATCTCATTTCAGCAGGCTCAGGTTCAACAAATACCACTCAATTCACTTTGGTATGGTATGAATGCGTGGGATTGAAGGGTAGGGCCTTGAAAGAGCATCTTTTGTTAACTCTTTTGTTGCCCCTCCCCCCCCCCCCCCCTCCAAAATAAAAACAGAAAGATCATTTTAAAAATAGCAACAAAAATAAAGTTAAATATAGGTGGAGAACTGAACTCTGCTTCCTGCCCTTCTCCAGAAAACATACTTCTTCCCTGTAAGACATAGAGATCTGAGGCTACAAAGCAATGGAGCTGCAGCTCCCCACCAGCTAACATCCCTCCGAAATTTGGGTAGGCACAGCTAAAAGAGAATTTAGCTCTGAGTTTAACTTCATTTTTTCAACTGGTAAGAACAGTTGAGAGAGAAAAAAAGAAAAGAAAAAAGGGAAAAAGGAAGGGGTAGAGGAAGGGGAAGTGAAAAGAAAAGTCAAGGCAAGGCAAGGAAAGGCAAGGCAAGGAAAGGCAAGGAAAGGAAAGGAAAGGAAAGGAAAGGAAAGGAAAGGAAAGGAAAGGAAAGGAAAGGAAAGGAAAGGAAAGGAAAGGAAAGGAAAGGAAAGGAAAGGAAAGGAAAGGGGAAAGGGGAAGACACCTGAGGGATGTTAACAAGGGAGAGATGATAATGTCCTCAACCCCTCTAAGATAGTGACTAAGAGGTAAATAATTACTGTTTGTGAGACGTTACCAGGAGGTGCAGTGAGGGAAAAACTGCAGTCAGCCATAAAACCACTGACTGTGTTGAGGTCATGATTTTTAGTCTCCAGCAGAGACACAAATTTCAATTCCCAGCCTCATCTTTTGGAGGGCTTTTTTGTTAGAATGGGGCTCAGAGGGAGCTCAGGGAGTCCTCCAAAAAATGAGGAGGGCCCTCGGCATATCTAGACAAACACAAACTTACGATTTATATGCATCAACAGAAATAAACTCATGAACTGTAAAATGTGTGTATAGAATAAAAGTCCAAGAAAAAATAGTTCCCTTGTTTGTTATCCCAGCATAACCAGTAGCACTGCCAAACTGTTAAATTCTTTTCTCCTGTATACAACTGTGTTTTACTGAAGTCAAAGCTGCAAAAGAAACTTGAGTAGTTCTGATCATTCTGATTTTTGGCAGATCAGAACTTATTCGTCATCTTCAGAGGTGTTTCAGTGGTCGTTGTATTTGAGTGCATTGCTAAGCCTGATATTCATATTAATCATCAGGGAATTAAAGAAAAAGCTATAAATTTGCTAATTGGAAGTCATCTTGCCTTTAATTAGTTGACTGACTCAGGACAGTTTCCTCTCTTGCAGGAAGGTTAACGTAAACTGCTTTTAAAAAGATGAATGTTATCTATTGTATTCACATTTTTACAGAAATGAACAAAATACTTTTCTAGCCATGACTTCAGATGTGCTGTATAAGATAATCTTCGAAGACTGACAGTAGTAGATTATTATCAAGCAAGCAGGAAGCTCCAAGGCACTTGGGTGCATATTTTAGAAGGTTTATAGACAACTGCCCCACAGATTTAACTCCAGGAATCCATCCTCGGCACTCAAGGCAGATATATTTGTAGAGAGACACGTGTACATATGAGATATATAATGTGTAGTGATGATTCTTTGATTACCTTTATATTATAGCTGAAATGAGGTGTTTGTATATTCCCATCATTTGTGGTATGTGTTTGTTGGTCTAAGGTTTACTCTGGGTAAAACTTAATCCTTAAAGCAAACACTCAGCTCTGTGTTACATCTCTGAATCTGTGGGTTAACTCCACGTGGTTTCAACTTCAAGCCTTTAACAACAAATTATTATTTATGTAAGCTGTCAAATCCACACAGGACAAGCAGCTGCGCAAGAAGAAACTGAAGCACATAAACCTTAGTGAGAAGCATAAGGCTCCCATAAGAGACTAGTCTTTCCCTTTCTGTATTTAGTCCACTAAGAGTGAATTATTCATTACAATCAAGCTAAAGCTCCCCCGGTATTGCCATTTCATCTGCGAGTTTGTTGAAAATTAAAGCTCGGCATGAAGCCTCCAGAGATTTATTCCAAGTTAATAACACCTGCAAAGAACAGAGATTTCACTGTGAGGTAAATTGCTGTGTGATTGCCCACACATCAGCAAAAATTGTAATTGGGAGAAACTGAATATTTTCTCTGTATTTAACTGGTGAGGATTTTGTAGGGTGTCATTTTACGTTAAGTAGTAGAGTTATAATTTAGAATGTTTCACAGTAACCAATTGTGTTTGTTTTAACAGCTAGACTTCTATGAGAAGATTTCTATTGCTGTCAGCTGCTATTGCAACGTTATGCAATACACATTTAGAAACCTTTCTTAATCTTAGGGGAAATGGTCAGAGACAGGCTTTAAACTATGGAATATTTTCCCCGCGACTTCTTGTGAATTTAGAAGTTGATACTTTCCTCTACCTAGCTGTATCTCATAAATAGCAAGCTAGGTCATGATTTTGATCTCTACATCTGTAGCACATGTCCGCTGAGCAGCTCCCTGGACAGCAGTGGAAACGACCTAAAGCACACATTTTTGTTTCTTCCAGATGTTTCAGGAATACACTCATAACTAACATGAAAAAATTCAGGTGTAGCTCTTAAATCAAATTGGATATTAACATTATAATCTATCCTAAAAAGGACAGAGAAAGAAAAAAAGTTGGGTTATCTTGTCTCCATGTTGTGCTGCATTGTTCTACCCTGAGTTGCTACTGTCTACATTTTCCACGAGCCCTGTATCCGTTCTCAACTTGGGTTTGGAGCAGGATTCAGACTTCTGTCTGACAGCAGTAACACAGTCCCAGCATGAAATGGATAAAGCTTGTATCATTCCATACAGGTCTACATGGAGAGCTGTGGACAGAGCTCTTTTTGCCTGTCCTTTGAAGAGAACCAGCTTTGCTCCACAGACCAAGTATCCGTGCTAGCAAGATGTCGTGCGGAGCTCAGTAGGATGCTCAGAGACTTAGTTGCTTGATTCCGGCAGCTTGCCACGGGGACGTGGCTGGCTGTGCCTGCTGCGTGGGAGCTGCTTGGGCTCTGCCTGCTTGTCTCTGGGCAAAAGTGCCTCTGTGACTTGCAAAGTACATTGCTACGTTTAAATCAAACTGCACAATTTACCTACACGGTCGCAGTGTGTGAGCCTTACCAGCCAGCTCTTTGCTCTAGAGAATATACTTTGGAATTATGCACTGGACGCTGCCAGAAACCTGTTGAGATAGTCTTCTGTCCCTCTCTGCTAACATCTTGCCACCTTTCTCATTTCTGTGCCTTACAGAGAAAGCTCAAGTGCTTGTCTCACTGAACTCAAACTTAGGATTATAGTCATAGCCGTTGCATTGGTTTTGTTTTTTTCTTTCTGTTTGTCTTTTTTTTTTTCCAGTCGTAACAGGGAAAAAAACCTGGTTAAAGGCAAAGGGAAGAGAGACATATCTAGGAGCGTGACATCTGGTTTGAGATGTGTGCTTTTAGTGCAGTGAAACTTGCTTCAGTGAATTCCTGTTACACGCCTTTTACAGTTACTGGAATAAAAAGTCCCTGGTGCCAAAGGCAAACACGTATGAGACAGGGAACTCATAACTGCATGAATGTGTTAGACAATAATATGCAGTGGATGCTGCTGCTATACATAATAGCTAAGCTATTCCTACTGTGACACAGCTAAGGGCTAATACAACACAGATTCATTTCCCTGGATCAACAGGGGACGTATTAAAAAATAATTTGCTGGGCAAGATGAGGCTTTTCAGGCTCAGATAATCCTACTGCCTGCTCCAGAGGTCACTGAGAAGTGTAATAAAATAACAAATCCCTACTGATTGACTTATCTTCCTTTTCCACAACACTTCAAAGCTTTTCCCTTTTTCACTCGAGAACAGAACCGTGGGTAAGCAGAACTCCAGCACAGAATTGTCTGTGAAAGTCCTGCCATAGACTCCAGCTTCCAGCTTGTCACCTCTATGTCACTGCTCGTGGATCATCCCAGGGTTTAACTCAGCTGTTACAGGGTTGGGGGAGGATCTGGGGTTTGGCTCCGGGCTCTAGGGAAGAGGAGAGGAAGCAGGTATATTGTCTAAGCAAACCTCCACGCGTCAACATCCATGCTTGTCAGATGAATTTTTCTGCTCCAGCTGCACTGCTCTAAAAGTGGACCTTTCAGTATAAATTTAACTGATGTATTATGTGTGTGAAATGTGTGGTCAGTTCCTTTCAGAGAAGAACTTCGTGGCGTAGGGAGTATAATTGTAAGGATGATCTAGCATCACCATAGGATCCCACAGTAGGAACCAAAGTACCAACTAACAGCATCCAGTTGGGCTAGGGGCCACGTAGTGGGAGTTAAGGCCTGACCAAGAGAAAAGTGAAAGAGGAAAGGAGTTAACTGTCATTTTGCAGAGAGGAAGATGAACTGAGGTGAAGTGTGTTGAGAAAGCCATGATAGTTCAGAGGACCAAAACTGAAATCTGAAAGAAAAATTGTGCTATGGGCTTCAGTCCATGTTTCAAATGGTCTCTGTCATGTACAAACTTCCATTGTTCCCAAGCTGTTCTTTTCAAAATGTGACACCCATAGAAAAAATTTCCTTAAAGAAGGAAAAATAATGGCCAAAATTGAAAGGGATGCAAACCAGATTCCCAGTTGTTTGAATTCAAAAGGATGTTTTTCTAATACTGCTTTATGTTACAGATATGTACGTGAATTGAGATGCTTGTCTTTGAATTATGCTATGAACTTGTCCATGATTTATGGGAATTTGTGTACAGGGAGTCACATCTATCTCTAAGCTTGAACTATTTTTGGAATTTAAATGTTGTAAAAAGAGGAAATAAGAAAATTAAAAAAAAATCTGTTTTTCTAGGTTGTCCTGGGGCCAAGAAGAATGAGTTCCTGACTAGTGTTTTGGATGCATTGTCCACGGATATGGTGCACGCAGTCTCTGATCCGTCGTTGTCTTCTAGCCGGTAGGTTGCAGATCCTTTTTATGTGTCTTTAAAAGGATTCTGGCAGTGGTGAATGAATTGTTGAGGGCTTTGAGAAGTAACTCTTCTGCTGCCTTCAAAAAGGGTAACTTTCCAAGAACTTATCTAGGAGAGTTGACTTCAAAGTTGCCACTGTGGACTATGTCCACTAAACAGAGGGGCACTTAATAGCTGAGTTCTCAGCAGCAGCACAGCTTGGAGTTTATCTGTAGATGCTGGTGCAGCTCTGTCTCAGTCTTTGTTCTCCTCTCAGGCTTTACTTGAATGTGTGCTGCCTTCCTGATTCACATTTTGCCGAGTTGCTTGTAAAGCAAAGCAATGCTATCAGCAGTCACAGGCAGAATTAAAAATGCAGAAGTGCTGTCAAGCTTTGGGTGTCTGCAGGTCAGGTGCTCACCATCTGAAGAGGAGGAGGGATTTATTGCTATAACTTACCCTGTGGTTCAATATAGTCAGGTGTTTATCTCTAAGAGCATCCATCAGGGGTTGCAAATGGAGCCTAGGTATTTGGTGATGCGGACAGTTGACCTACTTCATGTGGGTATATTACGCCTTTCAATGTGTCTGCTGTCTATGGAACTGTCTTTTTCCCTTTTATTTCTCTCTCTACTTTTCGCTGTTTCAGGCAATGAAAGGGGAAAGCACTGTATTTGGAGTATGGTGTTGACCTCAACACAGTTTCAGAGAGTTAACTATGAGCAGATTCCAGCTCTTCGTGTAAAATGTAGGATACAGTTGGCCAAAGTGAAAAAAGAGGGATTCACTGTAAGAAGCTAGTGGCCAAAAGCAGGGAGGTTGACGTAACAAAGCTTCTGACAGTGATTTAAGTATTCTGAAATAAAGGTATAAACTGAGATTTATGTATCAGAATCAAGACTAAACTCTTGTTTTCTATTTCAGGGTTTCAGAGCCTGATCCGAATCATACTCTGGAAGAGAGAGTGGTCCATTGGTATTTCAAACAGCTAGATAAAAATTCCAGTGGTGACATTGGCAAGAAAGAAATCAAGCCATTTAAGAGATTCCTAAGAAAGAAATCAAAACCCAAAAAATGCGTGAAGAAGTTTGTGGAATACTGTGATGTGAACAACGATAAATCCTTATCAGTTGAAGAATTAATGGGCTGCTTGGGAGTAACAAAAGAAGAAGGTAAAGCAGAAACAAAGAAACGCCATAGTAAGAACCTTTTCTACCTTGTTCACTAGATTCTTCACAGCTGACGAAGTCTGATATTTATATATGCCAGAGGTATACAAAATAAAAGAATACACCTGTCTGTAGCTGATGCAGCTGTTGCTTTGGGCAGATGTCAGGAAGGCTGCTTCTGTGTAGGCAAATCATCACTTTGCTCCAACAGAACCAAAAACTTCCTGTTGATTCTGACCTTTAGATGTGTTACAGTAGGAAAGCCAAGAGGATACGATAACATTAACGGTCATCAAAAAGCCAGTTTAGTGTTCTTACAGTGCGATGTCCTGAACGAAGGGAAGTATCGCACCTGTGCTCTGTGGAATCCTGCTGGGAAGGAAACACATTGTTGAGCGTTCTAGTGACTTCTCAAATGTGGTTGAGAGATACAGTGAGGAACGCGGTCATCTGCCAGCGAGGTGGAACAGCTGCTGGTGCACAGCCACCTTACCTTGCTGCCATACTGGTAGAAAGGGGAACGATAAACCATAGTGTGTGATGGTCTCTGCAGAGTTCAATCACACAAGCCCTGAAAACGAAGAAGAATTAAAAAAAAAATTCATAGACAAAACCAGTAGAACGCCATCCTGTATGAAGCTGTAGAACATGAAGTGAGGCAAACTGTTTTGCTTGCCTGGAACCTTAAACTGAAGCCAGGGCAGTAAAACAAAGGGGTCATAGGAAGCAAGAAGCAAGTCAAGTGGGAAACGCAGTCAGAAACCAAATGGTTTCCACAAAATTGATTGTATTCAAGCCTAGAAGGGGAATACTGCAGAAAGAAGGACTAGCTCTACATAGTACTAGTAAAGTAAATGGTCTGTGTCTCACGGAAAAAGATCTCTCAAAACAAATACATCAAATGCAGGATTTTTCTTCTGTGCTTTTTGCGGACCTAATAATAATACCTTGCAGTTTTTGCTTAGGTGAGAGAGGTGAAAAAGCTGTATATGAAGGTGAATGACTTGTTATCTTTGTGCTATAGATGTGGAAACTGGAACATAACACCATTTTCATTTACACTGTTTGGCAGACTAATGTCTTAAAGCAGAGGCCATTATGGTCACTCCGTGTGTTAATATTCAGAAACTTCTGTCCTGCTGTAGCTGGCATTCCTTGGTCTTTTTGTAGGTGAAATCTGAGTCCAAAGTCATTGCTCCAGGACATAAAGGAAAGCTACAGCAAGACTCAAAACAAAACGCAGTTTTTCATGCACCCATTTCAGTGAAAAAAATCAAAGATTAGGATTCTCCTGCTTCACATAAGCTGCCTATTTCAGAAAAGAAAGTTGTAAGAAGTGTGAAATTATATGAAGATCACACAGATATAGCTAAAGAAAAAATAATTTTCACTATAACTGGAGATTTTTAACAGAGCTTCTAAACAAAATTATAGTCAATACAGAGAACATTAATTTCTAGAAGGAAAAAATATCTCAAAACTTGTGCATTGAAGAACTGATGGCGTCAAGGGAAAAAAATCTAAACCAAATAACATAATGCTTTCCTAGAAATGCACATTTTCAAAGGCAAGACAATAAAAATTGCTTTTGTTAGAATATCAGCATTCTCTTTTGTTTCTCCTGCTTGTTAATTAAAATTTCCTTTCTGATAATCCTTTTGCTTGCACAGAAACCAGTCACCACTCCACTAAAACTAGAGTTACATTTCTGGGAGAAGGTGAGATCCCATCATGTGAGGTGTGAAAGTGGAGATAAGGAGGTTGCTCTGTGTCGTTCTGTGCAAGTCCCAGTTGTCTTGTGACAATCATTTGAAACAATGTAAGAGGCAGAGAGGCACAAAACAAAGTTTCTCAGGGGAACAGTAGTTTCTACAGTATTTCTCCAGGTCCATTTTCATTACCCTTTTTCCCAGTGAGACTTGATTGACCAACAAACTGATGTGGAGAACCGAGAGGGTTAGTTCCTCCCGAGCCTCCCGAGTTTGCTTGTGAAGATGGATGGGCCAGCAGACTCATGTAGCTGGGGTTTTTTTCCTCATTTAGAGAACTCTCTTATACTTTGCTGCTAAGAAACTTAAAAACCAGCAATAATCTTGTTGTTTTATAGATTAAATGTGAGCAATGTCTTTGGCTGGTAGAGCCCGTTCCTGTGCAAAGTCTTTAGGCAAAGCGAATGCTTTCCAGACAGTCTGCCTGTCCGTGCTTCTTTCCCACCAAGGATGATAGGCTATATTGACTACTAAAGATCTGATCATTTTGAAATGCTCAAATTATATTTACTACTAATTTACTACTACATTTTGAAATGCTCAAATTATATTTACTACTAAAGATCTGATCATTTTGAAATGCTCAACACTGACTAGATGCAACCTGTCCTAAGCAAATGTCACATGTTAACTGGCAAGAAGTGCTGTCATTCACCTTTCATACAACATGACAGAAGCAACACCTGTACTGAGGAAAGAAAAAAGTGAACGTTTCAGTGAAAGACCTGAAATATTTTAGCTCATTTATTGACAGCTGTGCAGTTACCCTGCTCTAAACAATACCAGAATGAGGGCTTCAGTGCTTCAGGATGCTACACATAACTTGCAAACTATATTCATAATGTTTTCTTTTCCCTCCTTTAGCAGCCCCGAAAACCAACACTGAGAGCACTTCATCCAGCAGGCAGGTGAGTACTGAGGAGAGCAAAATCCCCACTCCTTCCTTGCCCAGCTGAACTTCTTGGGGTTTTAGCAGTGATCATTGCAGATTCAAACTACATTCACCTGCCATTCTGCAGGCTTGCCAGGAGAATGTAGGGCAGCATCCTGACTAACAGATTTGGTTTTAAGTTCTATCTGAGGAAAGCTGAATTAGTCAGCTATAGGTGCGGAGTAAATGTGCATAAATGCAAAGTGGATTATGCCTGCATGTGGATGTTCCTAGTAAAGTTTAATTGGCATCTAGGTTAGTGATAGTTGGATGAGTGTAACTGAGCCCTCGTATGAGTCTTCTGCATTCCTGAATGTCAGCATTCCCACAGACTTTTAAATGTGCGCTGCTTTATCTTCGTTTACCTATTACTATAACTGAATTCCCTTAACTTTCCTCTGAGTGAAACTATAGACATAAACATTGATTGAAATTGCACTTTGTGAAAAAAGCCTTGTATTTCCCTTGCCTTGTGAAAACCTATACATATCACAAACCCCACTGAATTATTGTACGGTGGTTTTAAACACCTTTTAAAATCTTAGCGTAGAGAAAAGAGCTGTCGCTTTCAAATGCCTTTGCTGGCTGAGCAAAATGGTGCTGGACAACTAGGATTTGCATCGGTCTCTTGATGTATGTTAAAACTACAATTGGCGAGGTCTGCAGAAGGATTGTAGCAAATAAAATGTCAAGTGCCCTGACAACATAATCCATGATTTGTTTTTGCATCAAATTTCTGCAAAGACTAGATTTTTTTTTTTTGCCTGAATAACACCAGTATGTGCTATTCATGGCATTTTGGCTGCTGAAGGCAGAGCTGCAAAAGGCACAAAAGCAGAATTTTTAACCACAGAATGACAGAATCACAGAATTTTCGGGGTTGGAAGGGACCTCTGTGGGTCACCCAGCCCAACCCCCTGCTGAAGCAGGGTCACCCAGAGCAGGCTGCACAGGACCGCATCCAGGCGGGTCTTGAATATCTCCAGAGAAGGAGGAATCAAGGAAAGGTACACATTGAAAAAGAGGATTCAAGTGGAAGCTCAAGAAAAAGGTGAAAAAAGGGCTTCTCATTTGTGTTTGTCTGTTTTTATAATCATTAATCCTAAAGATTCACTTTTATGGATGACATGAGCACAACTTTGCATGGTCTGAAGAAGGACTTGTGAATCTGCCAGTTATTTGAGTGGTCTAGTAAAAGAACCATCTTCACACCAGTCTTGCCTCACTTCTGTATTAGTTAGAGGAATTAAATGATTACCTCCCACAAAAGCATCAGTAAATGATGAATTGTTTTTAGAAATATTCGCATAAACATATTATAAGAACAGCTCAGGTAACTCTGCAGCTGGGAAAATGGGAATTTGGCTAAAAGTATCCCAAAACGATAGCTGTAGTTAATGTCTTCCCATCTACCAGAGAGCTAGATTAATTTGTTAAAAACTGAACCCAGGACGAACCTCCCCACAAGCCAAGAGAAGTCTTCCTCTCATTGCTAGTCAGTCGGTTACTTGCTTTATCTCTGATTTGTTTGATGTCAGGCTCACACTTCCTAAGGCAAGCTCAGCGTTGGTCGTGGGTTCTACCAGGGACCTCCTACATACCTTTGATGGAATATATAATATTCTCGCAGCTAGAGGCATGTGATAAGTTTCTGTTTGTTTAAACAAATGTTTGTGGTCTTAACTTTTCAAGTTCCCCCCCACAAATCACTTATGCTTTAAACAAAGCAGCCTGAAAACAATTATCCCGTCGGAACTGCAAAACATTCAAAGGGGTTGTTTTAATTCTATAATGGTAATTACTGGCACACGTGCGTTACACTTGAAGCATGACAAGCCCTCTCCCCTTTCTTGTAATCTGAGCCTGACTTGCAGAATCTGTAACAAACGTGTCCTAGAGCGTCGATGTTTTTTAATTTTGTCCAATAATTTTGCTGACTCAGCACCAATTAGTTTAAAAGCTGTTGCTGACAAATGATGGCCTTGAATTAAGGCTGGCTCAGCAAACCATCTGTTGGCGTTTTCGTACTCGAAGAATACAAGGCTGCAGATGCAGAAGGTGGCTTTCATCACAAAAGTTTTCCCTTGAAAGGAAGTTATTGAAAAGCAGCCGGGCTGGGTAGGAGCCGCTTGAAGGAAACCACCCGTCTAAGAAGGAGTGATCAGATTTGCACCACTCAGGAGATGGGCACTCGAGAACTCATTTTTTCACTAGTTTATCGTGGCAGTTCCATTGTGTCTATGCTTATGTGTGCTTAGGCATGCATTTCTGAATATTGTTTTTTTTTACATACGTGCACATCTTTATGTGTACATGCACAGATAAGCAGTGGTGCCCAGGGACAGGACAAGGAGCAATGGGCAAAAACTGAAGGAGAGGAAGTTCCGTCTGAACATGAGGAAGAACTTCTTCACTCTGAGGGTGATGGAGCCCTGGCCCAGGCTGCCCAGGGAGGTTGTGGAGTCTCCTTCTCTGGAGATATTCAAGACCCGCCTGGCCGCGGTGCTGTGCAGCCTGCTCTGGGTGACCCTGCTTCGGCAGGGGGGGTTGGGCAGGGGAGCCGCCCCTGCCAACCCCAAACATTCTGTGATTCTGTGAAAGCAGATATAGATACATATTCTAATATGCTAAGTCTCAGCTGTGGCTGCCCTACAAGAGGTAAAATACGTGATGGAGCTGACAGAGCTGGGGTAGCGGCCAGGTAGGTTTCCCTTGCTCAGCTCCCCCCTGTCCAACAAACATACGCGTACACACACACACACTGTTGGTGAGACCCAGAGGGGCTTGCACAGCCCAGCAAAATCTTTACAGGGAAACTATAGAGTGTTCATAGGACTTTGGCCGGCAGCCCATTTCTTCTACATAGCATGCAACAGAAAGGTATATTGCACCAGGGACTTGCCCAGGCGGTTGCTAAGTGTGTGTGTTTGACAGGTAGAGATTTGAACTGGCCATAGGTAAGGAATAGTAAAGCTGTTGCTCATACCCTTGTTTGTAGATGCCGTCAAGGAATACAGTGCAGGGGTTTTTTTATTCCACACATATGTTTGTGCAGAACTCTTGTCCTGATAGTGGCATGTGGACACTGCTGAATAATAGAGATAAACATTTATACTTGATTGCTTCAAAACAACATTAATAATGCATATTTTTCCAACTTTCTTTCAGCAAGTTTCTAAGAAGCAAGGGTGAACAGCTTACCGATCCAAGGCAGATCTCTGACATGTGGGAGATTTCCTCACCAAAAGGCAATAAAAACAACTGTAGTATTTGCACTTTGTACTTAAAAATGTAAATTCACTTTGTAGAAATGAAATATTTAAGCAGACTTTTTTTTTAATCTGTGAAACTGTAATGGCTAGTTTTGAAAAATTATCACATACAATGTATGTGTATTCTTCTGTTGTCTGAAATATGTAAAACGTGTTGGAGATGTAAAAGTTTGCATTTAAACCATTTTTTTTTTTAAAATAGCTTTTTGGCAAACAGTAGCACAGAAACCTATGTGCTTTGGTTTCAATAGTATGCCTTGTTTTTCTTAACCAATACTGTCTTTTAAGTAGAGTTATGCTGAAAAGTCTACTGTATTCTCAATTTTGTCCAAGCCGTGTTGGATGTTTCAGGTTTGCGGGACTGAGAGAAGTGTGTAAATTGCTGTTGACTAGTTTATGCAGTTTTTGACTAAACGGATTTTTCATTGGTGGCAATATTTTTTTCATTTTATTTTTATTATTATTATGCTTTCCAAAGACCATGCAATGAGAATGCAACCACTAGTGGATTCAAAAAAATTATTCTGCAGTTAGTATACGTGTAGAAAAATGTATCCTTTTATCCATTTTTGAGATGCCTTCCGTTATAAGTTTTGGTAGGTTTTTTCCCGTTTGTTTTCACTTGGGTTACTAATACAGCAAACCAACATGGAGTAAGGTGGATTGTAATGTCTGGGTCAGCCTTGTCCTGAAAGTACATTTCTGTGGTCAGTGCAAAGCAGGAGCAGAGTTAATATGGGTCAGAACTGTAAATCTAACTGTAAAGAGACAAGGAAGGCTAACCTCCCTTGAACCTTTTCTTCCCCTGCACCTGGCTGCCCGCATCAACTCTTCGGTTTGCCTCGGGGTCTACCAGAGGTAAGGCTGAACAAATTATGAGTAGTTGCCATCTGGAGGGGCCACTCACATCACCCCTGCCCGAGGCTTTTCCCTTGCTGTCTGAAAGAAGTCCTCACAAGTTTTCATACCTTCTCTGTCACTTTCCCCCCCCAGTGCTTTTTTGTATGTGTGCCTGTGGGGAGTAAGAACTTGCAGATGTGAATTTAGAGCAGGGGACCCAAGTGAAAAAGGTTCAGCTCTTGAACAACTGTGAGTTACAAGCAGCTGGGTTGATCGATGCAGTGGTAGATGGACTGCTGGCATCCAGGAGCTGACCTGAAAAAGCAGTAATGTTGTAACAAGCAGTGATTTCATTCCAGTTTGTTTAAATAACGTGTGGGATCTGACGTGTGACTCGGTAATCATAATAACACCCTGGCTTGAGCTTGTAGCTGGAAAAGCTTTTTCGCAAATAAAGATGTTTTGTTTCAATTCAACATATGCTGAAGAGACAGGAAACACTGTATGCGTTGGAATTGTACCCCAGAAATTGTGTTCTCTGTGCTTTGGCACCAGCAGGAACCAAGATGCAACTGTGTGTTATCTTGTATTTTTGTTTGAAAAAGTATTTGTTATTCTTTTATACTGTTAAACTTTGAATTTAATCTTCTTTATAGATTAAAGATCAGTATGTTATCAAACTACACTGGTGTTTTTTCTTCTGCAACACAGACAGCCATGTTTGGAAGCAGGTACACACAGTGGTGACTTCACTGCTTTGAGTTTACAAGAAACTGCATGACCTCACACGTGTCCATCATCCTTTCTTCCCCTGACCATTTACTAACTTCTCTCTTAAGGTCCTTCATGCCTTATTCATACCATTGCTTTCTCATAATAGTGATTTTGAGGCCAGATCCTTTGTTGCTACTCTCTCCATACAGCTTCAGCTTTGTCTCTTGCCTCTTCGCAGCAAAGTGCGATGTGGCATAGGTGAGGATCACTCCTTCTCCCCTCGGAGTGAGTGTGAGCTGCTGGGAAACTTTCATGGTGACTGGAAACAATAAGTAAAGAGAGGCAGACCCTGAGGAATGCTAAGCGTCTCATTAGGTGGGCATGGTTTGATTAATAAGAGCGTTTTGTAAAAAACATCTAATTCTACCACCTTGGCTTTCGGAGGCAATATAAATGGAGGCAATCAAGTATTTTGCCATGTTCATTGTTTGAAATGGCAGCCCATTTAATCTGGGAGGCTGTGTGGTTATGTAATTTTGGACTAGCTATTTGATTATGTAATAAGTAGCCTAAACACTTATCAAATCACAAATAAATGCTATAGGCTTTCTCCTAGGTATCCAAAGACTTCTGCAGCACAGAGTCGTTTAAAGACTCTCCAATGACTGAAACATCTTTATATGTATTTCCATGTTGTCACATTTGTGGTTGATTTCAGTTTCCAGCCATTACACCACTTGGCTGTAAGCACTATCGAGTTCTTGTAGTTCCAGTGGAGTCCAGATCCCTAGCTTGAACGCAGCTGAAAGCCTGCTAAATTCACCTTGGATTCCTATATCTCCCATATATCCATAGGATGGTTAAACTTGGGTAAAACTTGGCCCTTCTGGCTGTTACCAAGCATGGCCTTGATACCAAAAAAGAATCCATGTGGATAGGCCCTAAGGCTCACACTACAGTACCAGTGTTTGTTTAGTTCCACAGTAATTAATTAGTTCTAGTTTTTATACTATTCCATGTGCAACAATTTAGTTTCAATTTTAATTTTAATTCTGTTCTTACTGAAAGCACAACTTACATTCTGGTTCTCATCGACCAATATTTGTTCTAGTTCCAGCTATTGCTGAAGAGATTTATTTAGAACTTTTATAAAGTCGTAAGAAGACTAGGAAGTTTTTAAAACGTGTATGTGTTCAGTGATTTGTCCAGCCTGTTGCAATGTCCGTTAGTCAACAGGGCACACAGTGAGAAATGTTCCAAGTCTCGTAGACGCTTTGGATAACTTTCTCATCTTGTTCCCAGCCCTACAAGTAGGCCAACTTCATCATTCCAGTTTTACCAAAACCACTTCGTTCTTGGTCTTCTCCCAGTCTGACAAAATGCCTAGCTTTCAGATCCTCATTTTGCAGAACAGGGACTGAAATGATTGCTCGGAATGACAATTTTTCTTGCTAGTGCCATTTCAAATAAGAAGAGAGCAAAAAAGCATCAGTTCACACAGATATAAGGGGAAGACTTAAACTAAATACTCACTCAGTATAAAACAAGGAATACACTGTACTTTTCTCCTTTGGACCAGGCTTTTGCCCTCCATAAGTGTCGTAAAGCAATGGAGAAGCAGGCATTCCTAGAAGGTTGAAAGAAGAAACAAATATACAGATTGTGTCATTAAAGATGTTTATGTGTGTCCAAGATTTGATAGATTTAATTAATATTTCCTTTTTACAGCAGTAATAAAAGAAAGATTAACAGAGGTTAGGAAATCTTCCCTGGAATAGATAATTTAGTTGTCTCTTTTAAATATTTACACGAGCTTATTGTATAACTAGGTTATAGAAACCAGTGTGAAAGAGTTCTTAATGCAGGAAGTAAAAGATTTCTTAATTTTGTTTTCTTTAGGATGGAAAATTAATGTAATTTTTGAGTAATTACTTTGACATTAAATAGTTTATTGATGTCTGAAACATTAGGATGATTATAGTAAATTGCTGATACAAACTGTACTCTGTCCCATTTAATCATTTCAGTTCAAGTTTTAGAAGTGAAAATATGCCCTTTGTTTAAAAAGCGTAAATAATGCATGTTGTTTTTTTCTTTAAACAAAAGCTCATGTGGAAAGCAATCAGAACGCATTTCTCTAGAACATCCAGTAAGGGGGACAACAGAGAGAGGTGTCTGTCTCTTTTTTGTCTAGGTTAGCAATAGAAACATCTGCAATATTTTGCCTTTGCTACGTTCACCTTTGCTATTTTGACATATACTTTGTTCCCTGACTAATGTCGCTGCTGGAATGCAAAGCCTGTTGGAAGGGAAGATAGTGAAATGAGAGTCCATTTTGTGCATGTGAACAATCTTTTCCATAAAATACAGTCGTCTGAGGCATCCTTTCCCTAGAGACTCTCTTGACTCTTGACTTCAATTCAGTGCATAGGATTGCTTGCTTCTTATCGAATACAGAATATTCCTTTGCACAGGCGTGGAATCCATGCTTGGTTAGTGGGTACTTTATGAAGAAAATCACTCGTAAAAGATTAGCACAGTCTACAAGATTGTAGGTGGAAGGCCGCAATTTTGTATTACACCACAAATAAAATTTTATAAAGGTTTATAAAACCCATTCAGTACCTAAAGAACATCCGTGAAGATGCCTGTATCTGTTTTAAGTAGTCAGTCAGGACAGAAAAAGGAAAAATAAATAGTAGTGAATGAAGTTTTCATTGAGAAACATTGTTTTCACTAAACCATGACTGACTGATTTCATGTGACTGAGGGTTTCCATGAAATTTCACTTTTAAAAGTATTTTTTTGGTTTAGTGGTTATTTCTATGTCGAAACTTCTTTTTCTTTGTCTATAAAGCATGAAGTGTCAACACTGAAAAGGGGCAATTTGGACACCAATTTTATCCCAAAGTTAGAGATTGTGAAAGGTAGCAGCATTCTTACTCTTCCTCCAGCTTCTTAAAAAAAACACCACATTCTTGTTTGAAAGAAGTCAGGTTTCCGAACATTGAAATGCCATGCTTCATCTGAGTCGCATTTTACAGTTTTTGAGTACCTTGCTAGCCCCGTATGAGGGGAAAATGTACCTTTTCCTTTAGCAACACTGGAGCCTGATGAACTAATGGGTTTAGCACTTCATGCACACAGAACATGAAGAAAACTGCGATATGGGTAAGGGTATTTATACTAGTTTGTATCTGTGAAGCGCAGTGGAAGCTGGGTGAAGTAGAGACCTGCAGAAACATATAGAGCACTTCTGCAGCTTGCAAAACAAGCCTGCCATGGGACTGAATGCAAACACCCTCAAACCTAAAACAGTATCCTAGCCTATCTCTGTCTTTTGCCAGTTATTCCACCCGAAGGCTGAAGCAGGTCAAACCCCGCTTTGACCACCACCTGAGGAGCAGCTCTGGCTCTGTGGGCGGGCAGCTCCCCAGTTAGTCTTCCTGAACCCATGGCCTGGGTTCAGTCTTCTGAGACCCTAGGCTGGGAAGTCAGTGGGACCAAGACCCAGAACAAAGAACACGAGAATAACCACCACGACAGACACTGCAAGTTACCTGATATTATTCCATAGCTCAGATTTTTTACTGTGGTGGGCTGTGATCCACTGAAAACTCCTGCCCTGTGCCATCAATGACAAACCCGAACTTCTTGCTTCTTAGTCCATCAGATGCATACTCAGAGCAACAGCAGTCGTGCCTTAACCAAGTAGGACCCAATGCAAGTCTCAGCTAAGTAGTACTTGAGCAATGCTGTGACCCCTCAACAGACACATGTGCTCAGCTAACCCTCACTTAGCAGTTCCTCTTTCTGCTTAGCACCATGTGATGGAGCAGTGTCTGCACACATCAGCTGAATAATGCTCTGCAGATGG